AGTAAGAATCCAAAAAAAAAAAAAAATACAGCTAGCATCTGTTTGTTTCAGGAATACTTCTTAGATTAGCTGGGTGTGGTGGTACACGGCTGTAGTTCCAGTTACTTGGAAGGCTGAGACAGAAGGATCACCTAAGCCCAGCAGGTGAAGGCTGTGGTGGCCGTGAGCATGCCATTGCACTCTAGCCTGGCAACAGTGAGACTCTGACTCAAAACAAAACAAAGCAAAACAAAGTTGGCCAGGCATAGTGACTCAAGCTTATAATCCCAGCACTTTGGGAAGTGGAGGTGAGAAGACGGCCTGAGCCCATGGGTTCGAGACCAGCCTGAGCAACTTGGTGAAACTTCCTCTCTACAATAAACCAAAAAATTAGCTGAGCGTGGTGACACACACCTGTAGTCCCAGCTACTTGGAAGGCTGAAGTAGAAGGATCGCCTTAGCCCAGTAGGTCGAGGCTGTGGTGGCCGAGAGTATGCCTGCCACCACACTCCAGCCTGGATGACAGAGTGAGACTCCCATTCAAAAAAAAAAAAAAAAAAACTTGCTTAAGATAAGGCCAGGTTGATCAGTGGCAAAAACCCTGATGTGGCTGTCGGCCCTGGGGAACTCCCATTTTAGAATAGTTTGTGTCTGGAGGTGGGGTACAGACTGGCCTCCTGTGATGCCCCAAGGTGACGAACTTTGCTTGCCTGCTCGTTGTAGCCCATCAAGGCCCGTCGGCTGTTCTTGGGGCCCAGGAACCTATTCACCAGCATGGTCCATCCAAGAGAGAAATGAAACTCAATGTCCTCCTGGAAGTCGGCACACAACTTGTCACAGTTCAGGTCATAGCTAAGGGAGAAGCACTGGCGGGGGACCAGCATGTCTATCTGACTCCGCACAGATGGGGGAAGGAGGGGCTTCAAGCCATCTGTCAGGAAGAGAAATGAGGAGAAGTCAACAGCCCAGCCCTGTGCCACAGCAGTGCCCAGCCCTGGGAGTGAGGGCTCCAGCAGCAACTGCTCAGGGTACTGAACAGCTCTGCCAGAAGCCACACGCTGGACAAGGCAGCCCATGGGACTGACAGTGCCTCACTTGTGGCAGGCTAGCCAGCTCTCCCGGGGGTGCAGACTGGGGCTCCACACCTGCCGGCATTTATGCCTGGAGTAGGCCCAGTTCTCGGCCTAGGACGGTCCTGTGTGGTAACACAAGATGGGCTCCCAACTCTATGTGGAGAGTGAACTCATAACACACACCCAGCACCTGACAGTACTGAGTTAAATCATCATAAAGGTAACAGATAAGGAAAATCACTGCTTCTCTAGGTTGGCCTCTGAATCTGATCTGTGTGTAGCCCCAGAGCCCCTGGTCCCACATTCCCCTGTGGCACGAACCTATCATGTCCTGTTGCATGGTCTGCAGAGAGTTGGTGATGGCAGTGGAGCAGCGGTCGGACATGTTTCGGCCCAGTCCCTCCTCTATGTGACGGTGCAGCTCCTGCAACAGAAGTGGACTAGGAGAAGCCCCGTCAAGAGTTCCTTTTGCCCACACCCACCAGAGACCAAGAAACTGAGGGATGTCTCCCTGGCTTCCACTTCCACTGCTGGGGGCACTTATGCACCAGCAGGGGCTGAATGTGTTGGGGCTCCCTGCCCAAAGCACCTGTCCCTCCAGGACTCACATTCTTATAGACCTTGAGGACTACAGGGGAAGGGTGGAAATCCATCTGGTACTCGTCCACCAGCACGGAGAGGCGCCTGATCTCCTCAGCCATCGCTGTCGACACCTGCGGGCAAAAGAAGCATGATGCTGAGCGACACCAAGAGAGTTCACTCGACTGAACCTCCTTCCTTACAACCCAGCAGTCTCTGCTGCTGATCTACTAACATCTTTGGGGTAGAAGAACTTGAGAAACTGGCAGATCAAGTGCCCAAGTGTCACATGGAGAAGGAGGGACAGGCCCAGAATCACACAATGGAACAAGGAAACGCAAAGGGAAGCTCTGTGTTCTTGAAGAGCACCACAGCTTCCTTCTGTAAGGCTCAGAAGCCCCCCAAAATAAAGATGTCTGATTTTTCCACTTTTCCAGCACCCTGGGCTCTACCGAGTCAGTCTCCCAGAGTACTTCCTATTTCTAACCTGTCTTTCCACCTCCTCCGTAATCTGCTTAATCCTCAATTTATAATCTTGAGCCAAGAGCTCCAGCTGCTTGTCAATGAATCTCAGCCGGTCTTGCCGCTCCTCACGCATTTCCAGGCAGTAAACCCTGGGAATAAGAGAGCACTGGTCACAAATCCCCATCCCACCTGACGGAGCACAGGGCAACAGGGTGGGGGGCAGGAAGGGCAATGGGGACAGGAATCCGCACAGGCCCCACCCACAATCCTGCCCTCAGGGTTTCACACACACACACCCAGGGATATGATCTCCCCTTCCCAAGTAGGAGGAAGACACCGCAGCCAACCACTGACTCTTCGGTCTTCCACAGGGAAAAGATGGCACTAACAGAGCAGGGAGGATGCTTTAAGGGTTTAAACAAGTTCTGCCAACTAAGATAGAAAAAAGTGCTCAGCCAGGCTCAGTGGCTCAACTTGTAATCCCACGCTTTGGGAGGCTGAGGTGAGTGGATTGCCTGAGCCCGCGGGTTTGAGGCCCGCCCGGGCAATTTGGTGAGACCTCATCTCTACAATAAATCAAAAAATTAGCCGGGCATAGTAGCGCGCGCCTGTAGTTCCAGCTACTTGGAAGGCTGAGGCAGAAGGATCACCAGAGCCTAGCAGATCGAGGCTGCAGTGGCCAAGTGCAGCCATTGCACTCCAGTCTGGGCAACAGAGTGAGACTCCAACTCAAAAAAAAAAGAAAAAAATGTTCAACCTTGCTAGGAATCAGGGAAATGCAATTTAAAAAATATACTGCTAGCTGGGCCTGGTGGCTGACGCCTGTAATCCTAGCACTTTAGGAGGCTGAGGTGAGAGAATTGCCTGAGTCCAGGGGTTTGAGACCAGCCTGAATCACACTGCGAGCCTCGTCTCCACAATAAATAATAATAATAAAAAAAAGCGAGGCATGGTGGCGCATATCTATAGTTCCAGTTACTTGGAAGACTGGTGGAAGGATCGCCTACGACCAGCAGGTCGAGGCTGTGGTGGCTGTGAGTATGCCACTGCACTCCAGCCTGGGTGACAAAGTGAGAGTCCAACTCGAAAAAATAATAAATAATAATAATTACACAATCATGGTGTCCCTGAGGGGCCAGCAAAGTGACATTGGGACAAAGGCCAAAGAATCAAAGGGCACTTAATATTTCTTTGTTTTATTTTAATAGTATAAACACTGCCAATTCTGTGTGGTAGAAGCAAGGTGTTTTTATATTACTCTTTGCACTTATCTATATTTTAAATTTCTCCAAAAATACTGCCTTTTTACAAATGTGTTCATGCCCTGAGAATGGCTGCAGTGAGACGCCAGCACAGGGACTGGGAAGGTAGGGTGCCAGGCCGGCTATGTGGGTCTGCCAGTCTGGTGGCCAGGCCAGAAGGAGGGGCTCTGGATGGGGGAGCCCAAGACTCAGCTCTGCCATCAAGGCACATCCCAGTTGCCCAAGGCAGGGGCGGAGTGCATCAACTCTCAGCACCCCTGCCTGCTGTCCTGGACTCTCACCGCTGCTCCTGAGCCGCGATGTGCAGCGAGTCCATGATGAGGCGGACCGCCTCTGCGATCTGCTTGGCCCGGACCGTGTGCTGCTCAAATTTGGTCTTCACTGCGGACTGGGAGATGCACTCCTGGAACAGACAGAGGCGCTGAGGGCGGCGCGGGCCACCGGGGGCCTATGGCCAAGAGCCAGGCTCTGGCTCTCACTGCCAGGGACACAGACAGTGAGAGCTGAGGAGGCAGAGGATCACCAGATACCAGATCATAGGACTCACCTCAAATCTCCTCTCGAAATTCTGAAACTCAAACATCCTCACTTGAAAGCCTTCTGCAAGAGCGCCCCCTAGGAGAATTTCACTGCATTAGTCCGGAAGTGGCCACAGAGGAAAATGGTGAAATCCCCAGAAACCAAGCCACTGGCTGGAGAGTAAGGGCCTCTCCCTCTCAGTCAACGCTTTCCTTGCCATCTCCTCCTCAGAGTGTTTTCTCAAACACCAGGGAAAAGGAGGACATCTGCACCCACTGTTACCTCCTTCAGGCATGCCCTGGGCTTTCTGGATCCTGGCATTGAGCACCTCCTTGGCAGACACAAAGAAGATACGATCCCCGGCCTGGGCTCGGTCCACCACACCCAGCTCATCCACCAGGAAGCTGGTACACCGCTCCATGTGCTGCCGCCGCACCTGGAGCCCACACAAATGTGACCACTTGGATGTAGACCCCACATGAGGGAGCCCACAGTCCCTGTCTCTTTTATTAAAACAACAGGTAATATATCTACATGGATCAATAGTCAAAAGGTCCAAACAGGCAATGCTTACTCAACATTCACAGTGATGTCTCCCACTGTCCCTGCTCCCTAGCCACCAAGCATCCCACACCAATGTCATGGGGTTTGTTGAGGTAGAACCTGACAAAGATGTCTTATGCATACACAAGCAAAAATGCTACAACATGTCCAACTGCCTCTTGTTAGCACTTATAGTGTCACTTTGGTGCCCCAGAAGGAATCCTAAAATCAGGCGCTCTACTCTGACAAGCTAAGTCCTTGTTAATAAAGTGAGTGGGCATCCCCAGAAAATCCCTCCTAGCTCTGACGTCCTAGGGTTCTGTGCATAGAACTTGATAACAGCCTCTCACAGAACAGCTACCACGTGTGGGGTGCTTTTAGTAGATTTTATCCTCTCAACAAGTCTATTTATTACACTCATCACACTGGTGAAGAAATTGGATTACCAATTACCAAGGATCAAAACAAAGTCACACTGCTCAGTATTAGCCAGAATTTGGACTCGGGCCTTTTGACATCAAGTGCACATTTTATCATCTAATATTACCAATCTGCTATCTCTCCTCTCCCGCCCCCCTTTTTTTGGAGACGGTGTCTTTCTTTTTTTTTTTTTTTTGAGTTGGAGTCTCACTCTGTCGCCTAGACTGGAGTGCAGTGGTCGCTCCCGGCCACAGCAGCCTCAACCCGCTGGGCTCTGATGATCCTTCTGCCTCAGCCTTCTGAATAGCCAGAATTAGAGAAATGCACTACCACGCCCGGCTGATTTTTTTATTTATTGTAGAGATGAGGTCTCGCTGCCCAGGTGGGTCTTGAACCCGCGGGCACAGGCAATCCACTCACCTCAGCCTCCCAAAGGCGCAGGATTACAGGCTGAGCCACCGAGCCCAGCGACGGTGTCTTTCTATGTTGGTCTCAAATTCCTGGGCTCAAGCGATCCTCCTACCTCACCTTCCTGAGTAGTTGGGATTACAGTTGCGTGCCACCTCACCCGGGGCTTGCTACCCTTTTTTCTTTCACTTCACATTTATAAAGTTAAGAGTTGTAAGTTGTAACAGCCAATTACTCTTCACTCCTCTTTCATACTATTTTCCTAAAACTGAGCCTGTTCTATAGTAATTCCTTATGACCCAAACTGAGCACTGGCCCCAAAGATGCACTAACGTGGTATGGATGCTTTTTAGGTTTGGGGGAAGGCCACCCAAAGAAGGGCTCCATCCAAGAAAGTGAATGGAGAGGGTAGAGAAGTGTTTTTAAGGTCATCAGAAGACATGATAGGAGAATATCTCAGAGATCCTTAGACATGAAATTAACTCAGGGAATTCACTAGATCTGGGAGGGCATGAAGTGGCCCAGGGTCAACAGGGCTCACTCGGGGTGGCATTCCCCAAACTGCCAAAAAGGTACTAACCTCTTCCATGTATTCAGGTTCCGAGGCAGATGCATCCCAGCGGTTATTCAGGATGAAGATGTTTGGGCGGGAGAGACGCTCACTCACCTTGTGGAAGAACTGCTTTTCCTAGATAAAGGGAAAGACCTCAGTGGAGGAGGGGCTTGCCAGCCAAGGCCCTGGCTGCCATCTGCCTGGCCAGGTGCTGGGAGCATGGGAGAAGGTGAAGGAGTTACCGTCTGCATCAAGGTGGACTCCGAGTTGGCCACCAGCACGAACACATCAGCATCCAGGCAAAACTTGTCAATCCAGCTGTCCAGCTCTGTGGTGACATCAATACCAGGGCTAAAGGTGACAGGGGCAAATCAACATCATCAGGCATAGAGTATGAGCTCTATTCTTCCGGCTGAGAACACACCTGGGATTTGTGAGGCAGCCAGGCAAGGGAGAAGAAAGCCAAGGATGGAGGAGAAATCAGGCCTGGCCCTTATGGGGGACTTTTACTTTCTACTGCACATCCTTCCAGACTGTCTGGAGATGAGTTCTTTTAAGTACATGCATCTATCATCTATCACTTTTATAAACACAGAGCAACTTGTACTTTTACTGAGGATATGCAGCTAAGGTGAAGATCTGTACTTATGTGAGTCCAGGTCAAGGCTAGTGTACTATATTCCTTAGAACAGTTTAAACCCATCCACAGTGCTCCCTCAAGAGAAAGAAAATAGCCAGGCGTGGTTGCTCACGCCTGTAATCCCAGCACTTTGAGAGGCAGAGACAAGAGGATTGCCTAAGTCCAGGGGTTCAAAACCAGCCTAGACAACTTGGCGAGACCTCGTCTCTACAACAAATCAAAAAAATTAGCCAGACATGGTGGCATGCACTTGTCGTTCCAGCTACTTGGAAGGCTGAAGCGGAAGATCACCTGAGCCCAGTAATGTGCCAATGCACTACAACCTGGACAACAAAGTGAGACTCCAACTCAAAAAGAAAAAAAAGAGAGAAAATACACCAGTGACTCCATCCAACTCCCCACCCCCAGCACACAGCTAGCACTGGCTCAGTTTGATAACCTCCCCCCACCTCTAAGCATCCCTCCTATTTTTTCTAGACCATCCCTAGGACACTTCGGGGCCCTGATGCCAATAACCAGACCCTAGAGGAAACCCAAGGGGTGGGAGGATTTGATTGAGCCCATCTGAAAGACAGTAATGCTTAAGAAGGGCAAGGATGGGGCACAGGGACTCTGGCCTGAATTATCCAGAAATGGGAGCCCAGTGCCCCCAGTCTGAACCTCCCAGGAGGGCACCCCCTTACCTGTCCATCAGCACGAGGTCATCCTTCAGAAGTGGGCACTTGGAGTTGGGCCACATCACACTCACCAAGCTGCCGGCATGCAGCTGCTCATCCTGATGGAGAGCATGGGCCAGCTGGTTCACAGTCTGATGGTGGAGGACAGAAAGAAGGATCAGGCCGAGGACAAGCTGCCTTGTCAGATTTCCTGTGCTGCTTGACCACAGCACAGGAACGGAGACTGCTATAATTCCACTACCCTCCCTAATTTCGTTTTTTTTTTTTTAGTTGGAGTCTCATTCTGTCACCCAGACTGGAGTGCAGTGGCACACTCATGGACACTCTAGCATCTATCTGCTGGGCTCAGGCAATCCTTCCATCTCAGCCTTCCAAGTAGCCAGAACTATAGGAGTGTGCTACCACGCCCGGTTAATTTTTGATTTATTGTAGAGACAAGGTCTTGCCAAATTGCCCGGACTGGTCTCAAACCTGCAGGCTCAGATAATCCACTCACCTCAGCCACCCAAAGTGCTGGGATTACAGGCTGAGCCAAGCCTGGCCCACTACCCCCTTTTCATGTGTGAAAGTTAGGAGCTGGGAACTGCCGGGCACAGTGGCTCACACCTATAATCCCAGCGCTTTGGGAGGCAGAGGTGAGAGGACTGCCCGAGCCCAGGGGTTCAAGACCAGCCTGGGATACTTGGCGAGCCTTCATCTTTACAATAAATCAAAAAATTCATAGAGTGTGGTGCACACCTGTAGTCTTAGTTACTTGGAAGGCTAAGGCAAGATCGCCTAGGCCCAGCAGGTTGAGTGAGACTCCAACTCAAGAGGAAAAAAACCTTAATTTAATTATATTATTATTATCAATTGAGTCAGTCTCACTCTGTTGCCCAGGCTGGCAGGCTGGAGTGCAGTGGCACCATCTCAGCTCACCACAGCTTCAACTTCCTGTGCTCAGGCAATTCTTCCATCTCAGCCTCCTGAGTAGCTAGGACTACAAGTGTGCATCACCACATCCAGCTGATTTTTTGATTTTTTTTTTAATAGAGATGAGATCTTGTTATGTTGCCTAGGCTGGGTCTCCAAGCTCCTGTGTTCAAGCAATCCTCTCATGGCCTCCCAAAGTGCTAGAATTACAGGCATTAGCCACCATGCCCAGGCAGGATTAATTCTTTATGAAGCACACCAAGCATCTAGCCCCAAACAAGAATCAGTTGCCTCTTAGAAAATCAAAGTGTGGCAGCCCCTGGCTGCTTATGAGGATCACAGAACAAACATAGGAACCTCTCTTTCTGGCAACATCCTGAGGAAGGACAGGCACACTGCTCTTCCCTCATTAGTGGGGAAAGGGGCACATGGCCTGCTCAGTTGACACAAGGAACAGCCAAGTCCCCATTCTTGGTGCTCCACGTTTCTGACCCTCCTGAAAGCTCCTTCACATCCATAAAAAGCTCGTTTGAAACAGGGTTCCCATATTCCACCACAGGGAGGCCCTGCCTCTCCTCAGAGGTGGGGTCAGCCCCGTCACAAGGGACAACTCACCCTGCCAGAGTGCCAGCACCCTCACCTTGACACTCCTCTTCTCCTCTGAGCCCTCGGTGAGCAGGAAGGCCTCATGGCCATCTGTGCCCTCCACCCGCAGGAAGCAGTTGGTGGTGTGGCCAATCCCGGAGGGCAGAACTTTGTCCCAGAGCATGGCATTGATCACGGTGCTCTTCCCATTGCTCGTCCTAGAAGGAAGTAACAGTTATCAGCAAAGACACCAATATCTGCGGTTTGGCTTTCACAATGCAGTTGCCAGCCCAGAAGGCCAAAGTCCTGTCCCCTACAGTACCACCAGTGCCCAAACAGTGCTGGGAGATGCACAGAGCAGGTGCTTCTGTACCTATTAAAAAAGAGAGGCTGGGTGTGGTGGCTCAAGCCTATAATCCCAGTACTTTGAGAAGCCAAGGTAAGAGGATTGCCTGAGCCCACGGGTTCAAGACCAGCCTGGAGAACTTGGCAAGACCTCATCTCTACAATAAATCAAAAAATTAGCCGGGCATAGTGGCGCTTGCCTGTAGTCCCACCTACTTGGAAATCTGAGGTAGAAGGATCACCTGAGCCCAGCAAGTCGAGGCTGCGGTGACTGTGACCATGCCACTGCACTCCAGCCTGGATGAGGGAGTGAGACTCCAATTCAAAAAAAAAAAATAGTAACATCCCTGAACCCAAGCTTTTGATGTGCCATTGGTTCATCACGTCAGATTAATCTGCAAGGGGCTGGCATAGCGCATGGCCCTCACCTACTTCCTCCACCCTGAAATAACCCACCACCTCTCATGACGTCCCTCATATGGAGGCTGCCTGTCTGTCTCTGAAGCAAAACACATGACTACCTGAAGCCACTGACTCACCCCCCCAGAGTATCTTCCTTAGTCTAAATGACCCTAATGTCCTTGTTTTCCACACAGAGCCTGTTTTGCAGCTCTATTCCCATCACAATCCTCCTTATATATGAAGCCCACCCTGTTGGTCCCAGCTGATCACCACCAAGCAGAAGGCATTCTTACCCACCACAGCCCTTTTCTCTACCCTGCTTTTTTTTTTTTGAGACAGGGTTTTACCCTGTCGCCCAGGCTGGAGTGCAGTGGCACAATCACAGTTCACTGCAGCCTTGAACTCCTGGGTTCAGGCAATCCTCCTGCTTCAGCACAAGGCAGGGGCACAGTCCTGAACTGCTGGGACTACAGGCACACCCCACCATGTCTGGCTAATGTTTCTGTTTTTATAGAGATGGGATCTTGCTTTGTTGTCCAGGCTGGTCTCAAGCTCCTGACCTCAAGCAATCCTCCCACCCCAGTCTCCCAAAGTGTTGGGATTACAGGCATGAGCCACTGTGCCTGGCTATCCTGCCTCTTAAAGACAGCTCCACTTGGCAAACTCATCTATTCTGGGTTTCAGAGCTTTCGATCTATGATGAACACAATCTTTCTCATTCTGGGGTGATGCTTCCCAGTCATGTCACCTTTTTGTTATTTTTTTCTTGAGACCTGACCTATCAGAACCAGTCACAGCAATTGAGCAGAGCTACAAAGGCCTTACCTGCATCCAGCGAAACAGGCAGCCCTCCCAGTTGAGGATGAAGAAATGAAGACTAAGGGCCACACCTCAGGTCACAGATGTCATCAGGGACAGGGTTCAAGGCACAGTGCTGACTCCCTAGGCTACTAGGTGCCTAGTGTACAATCTGTCTAGATGCCTTTTTTTCCTGTATTGGATTTTAATGCTTTGTTTTTGTTTTTTTGAGTTGGAGTCTCATTCTGTCACCCTGGCTGGAGGGCAGTGGCACGCTCCCAGCCACCACAGCCTCAACCTGCTGGGCTCAGGCAGTCCTTCCACCCCAGCCTTCCAAGTAGCTGGAACTATAGGCACAGGCCACCATGCCCGGCTAATTTTTTTATTTATTGTAGAGATGAGGTCTCGCCAGGGCTGGTCTCGAACCCATGGGAGCTCAGGCAGTTTTCTTACCTCAGCCTCCCAAAGTGCTGGGATTATAGGTGTGAGCCACTGTGCCAAGGTTTTTTATTTATTTATTTATTTATTGGAAAAGCAGAATTTATTGAGAGGAAAGAAAAGCTCCCACGATGGGAGGGGACCCAAGGGAGTTTGCCCAGATTTTAATGTTTTTAAAAGCATCTATTAGAACTCAAAGTAAAACAAGGAGAGCTGATGCTAAAACTATAAAACTCTTAGAACAAGGGGCAAAACTTAACGTTGGATTTGGCAGCTGTTTCTTGGATATAACACCAACAGTACAGGCAAAAAGAAGTATAGACAAATTGAATAGATACTTCTCCAAAGAAGATATACAAAAGGCTAATACAAGCGCATGAAAAGATGTTCTACATCATTAATCATTAACCACAATGAGCTATCCCCTCACACTCCTCAGCACAACCATGATCAGAAAAACAGAAATATTAAGTGTTAGCAAGGACATAGAGAAACTGGAACCCTTGTGCATTGCTGGTAGAAATGTAAAATGGTGTAGCTGCTATGGAAAACAACACTGGTTCCTCAAAAACTTAAAAATAGGATTACCATATAACCCAGCAATCCAGTTCTGTGTATATGTCCAAAAGAACTGACAGGGACTCGAAGAGATATCTGAACTCCCACATTCATTGCGACACTACTCACTATAGCCCAAAGGCAAAAGTAACTCAAATGTCCACTGATGGATGAACAGATAAACAAAATGTGGTCTGTACGTACAATGGAGTACTATTCAACCTTAAAAAGGGAGGAAATTCGGACACATGCTACAGTGTGAGGAACTTTGAGGACATTATTATACAAAGTGAAATAAGCCAGACGCAAAAGGCCAAATACTGTATGATTCCACTTATACGAGGTACCTAGAATACTCAAATTCATGGAGACAGGAAGTCAAAGGGTGGTTATCAGGGGCTGGGGGAGGCAGACTGGAGCGTTAGGGTTTAATGAGTATAACACAAGTTTCCGTTTTGCAAGATCATGTGAATATGCTTACTACTGAATTATAGATTTTTAAATGGTTAGAATGACGCTCGGTGGCTCAGCCTGTAATCCCACGCCTTTGGGAGGCTGAGGTGAGTGGATTGCCTGAGCCTGTGGGTTCGAGACCTGCCTGGGCCGCGAGACCTCATCTCTACAATAAATCAAAAAATCAGCCAGGTGTGGTAGCACATGCCTGTAATTCCGGCTACCTGAAAGGCTGAGGCGGAAGGATCGCCGGAGCCCAGCAGGTCGAGGCTGCGGGGGCCAGGAATGGCCACTGCACTCCAGTCTGGGCAACAGAGTGAGACTCCAACTCAAAAAAAAAAAAAAAAAAAAAAAAAGGTTAGAATGGTACATTTTATGGTATGTGCATTTTACCACAACTTAAAAATAAAAAAACTAGGAGGAGAGCGATGAACTCTGAAGTGTGTCTGCTACTCCCCGCCTTGGGGGCTCTGACTGTGATTCTGCACAGATTGCCTCCCTCCTCCCCAGCCAAGAAAAAAGAAGGAGAAAGAGCATCAAGGACTCACCGGCCAAAAAAAGCCACCTTCATGTGCCGCCGGGCCAGCACCTCACTGATGCCCCTCACTTTGGACAGGTAACCTTTGACATCCAGAACCTGCTCTTCTGTCGTGACGGGGTCCAGTTCCGCATTCCTGTAGGTGTCTGGAGGTAAAGATTGAAAATGGGTTACCCTGGGGTCAGAGGATTTCCACAACCACAATCTGGAAGGGCCAGAGCACCGGCCTCAATCACCTGAGTCAAGAGTCTGGCTCTGGGGCTCTCTGCTATCGCTGGGCTGAAGTTCCACATCCCTACTGTGGCCTCACTGTGGTCAGGAGAATACTGCCTAGGTTCTGATGCTGGCTCATCTCTAGCTCTGTGACCTCAGCACTTCTTTCTGGGTCTTAGTTTCTTTACCCAAAAATGCAGATAAGTTCTACTGTGAGATCAAATGAATTAGAGTACCATGTGCTAAGAACAGTGGTTGGTATAAGAAGAATACTTGCAAGTCCACTGCCATCCTCTACTTGTCCATTTTCCTTAACAAGTATTTACAACATTCCAACTACATGCCAGGCACTGTTCTAGTCACTTTTCAGAAGGTCTCTCATCTGATCCTTGTTATTTGCCTGGCAGGAGTTAGTAAACGGCAGAACTGGGTGTGAACTGGGCAGCCTGGGTCCAGGTCCAGGCTCTCAACCAATCCATGTCTCTTCCTGACCCAGCCCTGCTGGCATCTCTGGCCTAGCCTCTTGCCAGCCCCCTGCCTCACATTCTCCTCACTGTATCCCCAAACTCACCAGCTTCTCAGCCCTGGGACTTGGCTTCTTGCTCCCCAACTCTCCTCCCCACTCTCTAAAGAATCAATGCACTGTCCTGAAGTGGTTTGGCCCATTCCCACATGGCTTCCGGTCTAGCTTAGACAGTGCTGCCACAGAAAACCTTCCCTGACCACACACCCCCACCCTGAGGTATAGTGCCCTTGTCTGTGTGCCCACCGCACTCTGTACTTCTCCCATCTCAGCACTCACCTCACCATAAGGCAACTGCCTAGCTCACCTGTCTGTATCATCTTCCCCTAGAGGGCCAAACTCTCCGACCCAGCACCCAGCAGTACACACATTTGCTAAGTGAACAGATACCTAGATCACTGCGCTGCTTTTTCCCAGTACCCTTTACTGGCAGACTACTACAGGCAGAAGCAACTGAGCAAGATCCTGACCCCGTCCCACCTTGCACCAGGAAGGTTCTTCAGTGGGCTGGGAAGATGATGGCTGTTTGGTTCCCTCAATGAACTGCCAGGCAGACAGGTCCCATCCCTGTCCCAAAGCACCCAGAGCACGACAAGTGGCATGTCAGAGGCTGCCCAGTGAGTTTCCTCTCCAGTTAGTGCCATGAAAGAAAGTGACCAAGTCAACGAGTTCCCCCTCCCGCCATGTCCACCAGTCACTGCTGCCCAGACCCATCAACATTCTTCCCTTATACTGCCAACTGGGCATGGCCTTTGGGACACCCTTCACAGAAAACTGGCTCTTAAAAGTAGCAGCAGAGCCGGGCTCAGTGGCTCAGCCTGTAATCCCGCACCTTTGGGAGGCTGAGATGAGAGGATTGCCTGAGCCCGCGGGTTCGAGACCCACCTGGGAGCGAGACCACATCTCTACAATAAATCAAAAAATCAGCCGGGCATGGTAGTGCATGCCTGTAAGTCCGGCTACTTGGAAGGCTGAGGCAGAAGGATCACCGGAGTCCAGCAGGTCGAGGCTGCGGTGGCCGGGAGCAGCCACTGCACTCCAGTCTGGGCGACAGAGTGAGACTCCAACTCAAAAAAAAAAGTAACAGCAGGCAGCAAGCTTGTGTTACCTGCCCTTGGAGAACGGTCCCCGCTCCCATCCAGAGCAATCCCAAACACAACTCAGGATCACTCTATCTCTTTCCCTTCCATTTAGACAGTAGAGGAAGCCTCATATTTTCACACAAAGAGAACTCAATCAAAGTCCCATCACATAAACACCTCATTAAGCACGTGTTTGTTCATAGCATCATCTATGTAAGTGACTCCGAGCATCTCAGAAAGCTAGTCTGGGCTCTGGGAGGGCAGTGGCTGATCTTCCCCATCTCTGCATGCCCAGTGCCTGGCAGAGGGCAAACACAACAGAGCCACGGCTGAATATACAGATAACAAATTGAGATAACTTCAAACACCAATCAGACAATGTTAAAATTTAGCTTTTTTCAGTTCAACCAATATTTAGGGAATGAACACCTTCTCTGGCATCAGGTACCTTGCCAAGGGCAGGGAACAGACAAGGGAACAAAACCAGATGCAGTGGTGCTCCTGAGAGGGACTCATGTGTGGCCACCTGGTATGTGACACTAGTTGCTCTAGCTGAAACAGAATGGAGAATAGGTGCTCACAAGAGCCAGAGGTCAACTCCTGGGGCACCACCACTGAATTCTAGGTTTCAACAGTGTAGAACCTGAAAGCCCTGCTTGCACCTGAGCCCGCCTTTCACAAATGAGTAAATCAAAGGAAGGAGACTCAGCTATGTGGCCTTCCAAACAGGAAGCCTGGGAAGGCCAGCACTGGAGCTGGAGCTCAGACAAGTGGTGCTCTGGGAACCAGTCCTTCTCTGTTGATAGAGCAGAGACTAGCACTTGGACTCAAATTAGTAACTAGCAGAAAAGGCACAGGTGACGCAAGCTTCCTATTCATAGTCCTATCACCAATCTAAAAATATCAAAGGGGGCATCCTGGTTGGGGACAACCAACACCCAGACAGTGCCTGGCCTTAATGGTGGCCAGAACCAGACCAAGGAAAATGCATGGGCCCTGGAGTTGGAGACACCTGGGGAAAGCCCAGCTCTGTCACTTACAAGTATCAGACAACTCTCAAATCTCAATCTGCTTGCATCTTAGATGAGAATAGGAATCACCAATCCCTCATGATTAAATGCAGCTAAATACGTTAACTTCTTAAATGAAATGAATTATTAAAAGACCGTTCCTGGTCAGGCGCAGTGGCTCACATCTGTAATCTCAGCACTTTAGGAGGCAGAGGCAAGAGGATTGCCTGAGCCCAGGGGTTCGAGACTAGCCTGGGCAACTCGATGAGATTTCATCTCTAAAATAAATTTTTAAAAATTAGCTGAGCTGCAAACAATATTTTGGTTGTTATTAACCTATTAGCAGCATGTCAATTCATTGAAGTAGGAGAAATTATCAAGGACGGTTACTAACTGCAGGTACTATTTTAACTACTTTTATATGTATTTTGTCACTTATGTCTTTTGACAAATCTTACAATTTTAAAGATGAAGAAACTGAACAATGAGACTGATACTTACATAGATAAATGCCATTATATGGCTTTGCCTCTTTTCATACCTGAGTAAATTAAACTCTCACTGGATCTAATAAAGATCATCACTATCATGGAGAATTTGACTTGGGCTTTGCATCTTGGGGGATTTAGTACCTTCTGATAAAACAATTAATTTATAGGAATTGTAAAACTGAAAAAATATTTGGATCTGGAAGTCATTGTTAATGAGCAGTTTATTATTATTATTTTTTTTTTGGTTTTTACTGTATTTTATTAAAAGGTTTTGTTTGCAAATTTTCTCTTATGAGATATAAAAAAAGATTGATATGTTAATAAATGTTAGCATGGTATAAAAAAAAATTAAAAAAATTAGCTGAGCCAGGCACAGTGGCTCACGCCTATAATCCCTGAGGTGAGAGGATTGCCTGAGCTCACAGGTTCGAGACCAGCCTGGGAAACTTGGCAAGACCTCATCTCTACAATAAATCAAAAAATTAGCCAGGCATGATGGCTTATGCCTATAGTTCCAGCTACTTGGAAGGCTGAGGCAGAAGGATCGCTGGAGCCCAGCAAGTTGAGGCTTCGGCGGCCGTGAGCACGCCACTGCCCTCCTGCCTAGGCAATAGAGTGAGACTCCAACTCAAAAAAAAAAAAATTAGCTAGGCATGATGGCATACACCTGTGGTTCCAGCTACTTGGAAGGCTGAGGTGGAAGGATCCCCTGAACCCAGCAAGTCGAGGTTGCCGTGGCTATGAACATGCCACTGCACTCCAGGCTGGGCGGCAGAGTGAGACTTTGACTCAAAAAAAAAAAAAAAAAAAAAAAGGGAGCTCCCTTGCCTTCCTGACCTATTCTCACTAGAGCCCAGGTCCACACCATTTCAAGAGCAGAGCTTGCTGAGGCCATTGGAGCATGAGTTCCCCAGAAGTAGGACTGTACTTCCCCACCCCCAAATCCTGCTACCAAATATCTACACAGGTAAGAGTGGGCCTGGCTGAGCAGGTGCCCGTCTTACCTTCAAGGAAGGTGGCGCTTTCCTGGATATAGGCCCCCAGCTGCTCAAAGATGCCATTGATCTTCTTCTTGGCAGTGACAAAGTGCTTGAGTGGGGAAGCGTTCACTTCAGCCATGTGTCTCTTATCCTTCTTGGCTGTGACGATGAAGTTGCATGGAGAGAAGAGCAGGGACATTGCGCTGCAAGAGAAGCCCACATGAGTGACCCCAGGAGCCCACCCGGGGATGTGCTGCTAGGGGTGCGGCAGGGTGTGCTGGGGAGAGCTGGGACCAGCTCTGGGTCCCACCAAGAACACAGGCTGGACCAAGGGATGGCAAGATAAGAACCAGGATCTTGAATGGGAAGGGATCTCTCAGGACACCTGGGCCAGTCACTCAGTTGACAGCACAGGCACTCAGCTGCCTGGAGCCAGGGCCCTGTGTTCAGGCCTTGTGCTAGCAATTCCTTGCTTGCTGAACCGTGACAAGCCCTGCCTCTCCCACCTCAGAGAAAGACAGGGAGGAATTGAGAGGTAACACGGAGAAGCCCTTCTCTGAGTCTTAGGCAGAGAAATGTGATAGAAACCTGATGTATTTCCTCCACATCATCCCCTATCAAAAAGCATTGTACAGTGACAGCAAAGAGATGCTCTAGGTCAGTGACTCTTGCCCCTTCCCTGGCCGCTCTGCTGTCTAGAGGCCAATGCCCTAATTCCTAACTGGCTTTGTTTGCAGGTGCAGGTGAAACAGACAAGGCAAGACAATCCTCAAGTAAAAGAAGACTATTTCCACAATTTATTTAAAAAACGCTACTAGCTGGACATGGTGGCTTACACCTATAATCCCAGCACTTTGGGAAGCCAAAGCAAGAGGATCACTTGAGCCCAGGAGTTGGAGACCAGCCTGGGCAACACAGCAGAGATCTCTACAAAAAATAAAAAAATTAGTTGAGTATGGTATGTGCCTGCAGTCTCAGCTACTCAGGAGGCTGAGGTGGGAGGATCACTTGAGCCCAGGAGTGGAGGCTATAGTAAGCTATGATTGTGTCACTGCACTTCATTCAGCCTGGATGACGGAGCAAGTCTGTCTCTAAAAATAGTAAATAGGCTGGGCGTGGTGGCTCATGCTTATAATCCCAGCACTTTGGGAGGCCCAGGGGAGATGACTGCCTGAGCCCATGGATTCGAGACCAGCCTGGCCAACTTGGCAAGACCTCTTCTCTACAATAAATTTCTAAAAGGCTGGGGTCAGTGTCTCAGCCTGCAACCCCAGCCCTTTGGGAGGCTGAGGTGAGTGAATTGCCTGAGCTCACAGGTTCGAGACCAGCCTGGGCAACTTGGTGAGACCGCGTCTCTGCAATAAATAAATTAGCCAGGTGTGGTAGTGCACACCTGTAGTTCTGGCGACTTGGAAGGCTGAGGTGGAATAATCACCGGAGCCCAGCAGGTTGACCCTGGGGTGGCCGTGAGCATGCCACTGCACTCCAGACTGGGTGATGGAGCGAAACTCCAACTCAGAAAAAAAAAAAATTAGCTGGGCATGGTGGCATGTGTCTGTAGTTCCAGCTACTTGGAAGGCTGAGACAGAAGGATCACAAAAGTCCAGTAGGCCGAAGCTGCGGTGGCTAATGCACTCCAGCCTGGGCAACAGAGTGAGACTCCAATTCAAAAAATTAAAATTAAAAATTAAAATTAAAATAGAAAAATAGAAAATAAATAAAACACCACTGATCTCTTTTAGTATAACATATGTGCACTGTAGAAGACTCGGAAACCAAAGAGAAAAAAAAATCATAATCCCACCACTATGTGATAAGCACTGCTCACATTTTGTTTATCATCACAGTCCATTTTGGTGGGGCTATTTCTCTTGCTCCCCCTCAATGCCACACATCTTTGTACCCTATTTTTTTTAATACAGAAATAATCTTTAAGGGGCCATGGAACATGACTCTCAAGTCCTAAAGGTCCTTGTCAAAGGTCAGACACACCAGAGAGGAGGCATCGAGGTGTGGCCCAAAAGTGGACACCTGCCGGGTCCCTCCTGCCAGGTTGCCACTATGGAGAGATACTTCCCCAGCAAAGCCCTCAGATCCTGGGTCACCAGAGGGAAAAGGCCCCTCCAAGGATGAGGGGTGGTTACACAGCTATGTCTGCCTGGTCTGTCACTGCCACACTAGTCACCCGGATCTCAGTGCCCTGAGTCCTCCACCCACCAGCATGTGACTGACTCTCTTTAGCTGGGAAATGAAAAGGTGTTGCTCATAAGTGGGTACACACAAGAAACTTCCAAATGAGGCTGAAGGGTGTTGAAGAAGGTCCTGAGAAGCAAAAAGAACATCAGGGAAAAGTATATGAAGCCCGAATGCCAAAACTGTCTCTTAGAAACTAACAATCCCAAAGAGGCAGCAGAAAGACAGAGAGACCCATAGAGAGCTGGAGACCCACATGTGTTGCCCAAGTCCACAAATTCTTTTGCAATGTTGACTCCTCAGGAGATGGGGCAAGGAAGGGGCCCTACTTTCCTTTTGACATTCCTCCTCAGCATAGTGCCACAACTATGAGATGTTTTCTTAGGAAGAAAACCACAAGTCAAGAGCTTAAATAAAGACAGCAGAGCTCTGAGAAAGGAAAAGGGAAATAAAATGACACTCTGGCTCCTCCAAAGCAGCAAAGAACAGTGCACTAAAATCAGGCTTGCTATGGCCCAGCAGGTCGTTCACTTAGAGAAAGAAGAGGAAAGCCACCAAAAAGGAAAAGAAAAGGGCTCTGGGAAGGGGCATGATGTGGCATTGCACATGACAGCCTTTGGAACAGGGTAGAGTTGGGTTCAAGCTGACAATATTACTTCTGGGCTGCAAGTTATTTAATCTCAGAACCTTGATTTCTCCATGTGTACAACAAACAAGATATAAACTGCGAAAGGACTAAAGATGACAACGCATGCAACATGCTAAGCACATAGTAAGAGCTCTGTATAAAGATAGCTTCACATGTTATAAGGCAGCAAGATCACAACTCTCCTGACAACACCCAGCCTCCAGGGAGGGCAGAGGCCACTCCACCAACACACTCACCACTCCTCCACCCGCTGCCATGGTGATGGAATAAACAGGTCGGCTGGGGGAAGATCAGCAGTGCTCAGTCCCAGAAGTGACTGTTATAGGAAGTAAGTTCCCTGGTATCAGCTGGGCTTTTAGAAGCAGGTGCTTTTAAGTTCTGGTCATTGTTCGCAAGCCCAAAGGGTATGAAACCAAAAGCGTTAATGTTCAGTAAGTGCAAGATTCAAAGGCATGCACACCAGTAGAAGCTTAGTGGTTCCAGGTTCCAAGGTCTGCAGAGCTCAGCTGATCCGGAGCTGCCCTGCCCTCACCACTGCCCAACCTGCAGCTGCATGCCCAAGCCCCTCACAGAACACCTGCCGCCAACCCCTCCAAACTCTGCCTCATTTCTCTGGCTCTGCTCACACACAAGCAGAGATTCATTTGTATCACATGTACCACTTTCTGCCTGAAATACACCTTCTTTTTCACCCTGTCTGCATACTCCTCTGTCCTTCTAGACCTCACTCAAGTGTCACTCCTCCAGAGGGGGTGTCCTGATGTCCTCCCAGAGGACAGGCAGCCTTACCAGACTTTTGGTCTGTTTATCACATCCTATGTCCCCCTCCCCTTCCCACTATCTCTGGGCTTTGACTGCTGGTGGGAGGCAACTGGGTTCCTATTCCTCCTCTGGAAAGCCCTGATAATCCCTACTTTATCACAGGGCTCCCCACAGGCAATGTGAGGCCCGTTCCCCAGGCAAAGCTAGGCCCAAGAGTCCAGCTCCAATAGCAGCTACTATTGGACACTAAGTGGCACACTTTGAGTTTTTTGTTGTTGTTGTTGAGTTGGAGTCTCACTCTGTCGCCCAGACTGGAGTGCAGTGGCCGCTCCCGGCCACCGCAGCCTCGACCTGCTGGGCTCCGGCGATCCTTCCACCTCAGCCTTCCAAGTAGCTGGAATTACAGGCATGCGCTACCACGCCCGGCTGATTTTTTGATTTATTGTAGAGATGAGGTCTCGCTGCCCAGGCGGGTCTCAAACCCATGGGCTCAGGCAATCCACTCACCTCGGTCTCCCAAAGGTGAGGGATTATAGGCTGAGCCACCGAGCCCGGCTACACTTTGAGTTTTTATGACTGCCTCAAGGCACTCTTGATATGATTTCAGGCAGTTACAACAGCATTTCTCAAAGTGTGATCCACAGAACTCTAGTTGCACACAACATTTCATTTAAAAGGGTTTCACAGCCGAATCAGATGTTGCTGTTATACAACAACATACACCACCATCCCTTCCAGTGGGGCACATAAGCACAGAGAAGGGTTTGGGAAGAAAGACCTGCTGTAAAGATGCCAGATTAACATATTAACGTGGCATTTCACAAATTTATTCAATGAAAAAACCCTTCAGCTGGGCATGGGGGCTCACACATGTAATCCTAGCACTCTTTGGAGGCTGAGGTGAGAGGATTGCCTGAGTCCAAGGGTTCGAGACCAGCCTGCACAACTTGGTGAGACCTCGTCTCTACAATAAATTAAAAAATTAGCCATAGTGTTGCGCACCTGTGGTTCCATCTACTTGGAAGGCAGAGGTAAAAAAAATCACCTGAGCCCAGGAGGTCAAGGCTACTATGGCCGTGAGTGTGCCACTGCACTCCAGCCTGGACGACAGAGTGAGATTCTGACTCAAAAGAAAAAAGACAAAATAAAGAACCACTTCTGCTGTGTAAGAACTTTTAAAATCCTGAGGATCACACTTTAGGGAAAGGTTCATTCATCCTGGTAGACTACCACTCCCACCCCAAAGAAATGCTAGCAACATTAAGACCATAGTGGATATTAAGACTAGAAACAAACCCAATTCCAAATGAAAACTGCTATTAGCACTCCAAGGTGACTAAAATCGTTACCTTCATCTAGGCTATTAGTTGAAAGTATTAGGCATCTTGGGTGTAGTAAAATTAACTGCAAAGTGTGTTTGGATCCCAAGCAGTCCCTGAATCCATACCACCTCCTTACCCAGTTTTATGTACAGCAACTCTTAGCAGGGAAAATAAAATGGATCCACGGATTGTCTGCTGGCACAACTGGAACAGACGAGAAGCTGAGAAATCGAAACAGAACAGTACACAGGGTAAAGGAGACAGAGTAGACTCTTAGAAGAGCTGTAACAAGGAGCCAACCTCTGCAGGGCAAAAAGGGAGGAGCCAGCACAGTAGGGAAGACCAAATGAGGGAGATAGAGATTAACTCTTCAGGGAGCCTCAAAGATCCCAGCCACTTTCTGAACTGTCAATCTTTAAACAGGTTCTGTCCACAACCAGCGAAATCCTCCATGGAAGTAGAAAGGAGATACAGCAGTTTTACTTCAACACAGGCTAGACGGCTCTGCTAGAGGACCCCATCCAAAAGACTTGCCACCAGAGGGCCAGAAGAACTTGTCCCTTTCCACTTAACCCAGATCCAAGGCACCAAAAGTCACATCTATCACTTACTTTTTTGGATGGTAAGAGATCTTCACAAGGTGGGCATCAGGGACATGGCTGGAGTAAAAAAGATGAAAAGATTCTGGGCTCTCTGTCCTGTCTCACGTTAAGTTGGCTATTGATTGTGTTGACTCCACCAGTCCCAAACTATTGGAAAAAAGGAAGTAGTATCAGGTGACACCTTCCCCCCAAAAATAACCACTGGTCTGCAAAACATGTCTGATCAGGTTTTAAAGCCAAACAAACTCATCCCTGAGGGGAGCTGACTCACTGAGGTACTGGAGAGCTAAGCAAGCACGTGAGGAAGTGCCCTGGGAAAAACATAACACAAAAGTGTGGGGCCAGTCCCGGGTGTGCACAAACACATGTTCACCCATGTGCTGGTGCGAGGTACCAGGGAGGTTTCCGAAGGGGCCCTGGCAAAGGTACATTCAGAGGGAAGAGGGGAGAGGAGGAAGCAGGACCAGGATTGGGCTTGCGGACTAGAAACTGCCAACTAGAGATAGAGATGGAAAGCATGGGGGTGAGGAACAGAAGTGGAACTGATTAAAAAGCCAATGTGTCCCAGCTGCTCTAAAGTATCTCACTTAATTGTCAACTCTATGGGGCAAACAGCAACTTGGAATACTTGGAAGATTTACAGATTTCTAGTCAAGTGGTCAAGCTGGGAAATGAGATCCCAGCTCCCTTTGACTCCAAAGCTCATTTGTTTTTAACTGTATGGAGCTGCCTGCCCTCCCACCC